GTGCGATAAACTGCTCAGTGTGAATGGGGTGTTAAAGATTTTCCACCTTTACATGCCTTTTGTGTACACGTTGGGTACAAGGTATTTCGTCCTCTTTTTTGCTGTTTGTCTCTAACTCTTTAAGTTTATGACAAAATCCCTAGCTTATAGCTATAAATCAGTGATTCAAATTCAGAATGATGTCACACAAGAATGGTGATCTGTTTAAAAGAAAGTTGTCAAAGTGCCTGCCTAATACTATTAAGTTATCACAAAGTGGCAAATCCCTTTGCACCACAGTACTGAAATATTATTATCATAACTAAAACAAAACAAAAAATGTCAATCCAATTCACTTTCTTGTATCAATTAATATTTTAATGATGTAATATATATCTAATTTCACCTAAACCTGACAGCAAAATATGCCTATATATTCAGCTTATAGGTTTCTTCCAAAAAACATACTGGACTTTAATAAAGTTTGGTGGAGAGCTATCTTACGAATAGCAATAGGAGATGGAACATATGCCTGTACACCTTCTGCCTGTACACCACATTTTTTCCCAGGCCCAACTGATGTTCACCTGCCAAATAGTGCAACTGTCTTTAAAATCATGCCGGATTCTCTACTTTGGAAAGGGCAAACTGTTGAAGAATCTTTGTGTGGAAAAACTAGCAACTTTGAATTTGGTACTTCCTTGTAATTCCAGATTTATAACCCATACATGGCCCAATCCTCTCTTGATCCTCTGTTCAGATCAGTTACATCACGTCATGCTATTAGGCCATGCATGGCTATCTTTACTGCAACTATCAGTTAGTAACTTGTTACAATACATTGTAGACAAACCACTTACAGTTGATTTCAGACTGGTTACTTTAGGTTCCTTGTTCTACGAATGTAGCCCTAGTTTCCAACATTTGAATTCCAAAGGGAAAACATGTTTTGTTATTTAAGAACAATTCTCGACAATTTTATAAGATAAGACAGTACAGCAAACTCAATTAAGGAAATCTGTCATTTTTTTTGGCTGTCATAGAGGCATGTAAAACTGCATGGAAGTGGGTGAAACGTGTGCCATTATAGCCAACGCTGCTGGAACTACAAGGATGGAAGCAAGCTTGAGTGCCAATGACCACAATGGGCCAGATCTCACTGTGCATTTTGTGTGCTGTTTCACATGCATTTAACCACTCCAAAATGTATGAATAGGGACAAGAATTTGCTTAAAATGTGATTATAAAACATGGTTTGTGTAGAACAATTTACTGTAGTTTATTAAAGACGAACTAGTGAAAATTATCAGCTATCCTGCTTTTGTAACTCTACACATTTCTAACCATGTTTGTGGGGGTGAACAAGGTCCTGCTAAGTGGTTAAAAGTGATGGCAGCAATTTCCTTATCTACAAGTAACGCTAAATTAGCCAAACAGTCATACCGTCTTCCCATACTTGGGAGATCACCAGTTGGCACTTAAAAGGTGTATTTTATTTTTGTTTTCAAAACAGGTTAAAATACATGAATGCTAACCAACAGCCATAATATATTTACTGACACATCATGGTGTACACAACATGATACAAGGAGCATTGTCATACCAGTTTCCAGCCTATAATGGGATAACCCATCAATATATTATTTGCCTGCTATCTTTAGCAATAATGTTTGTATTTTGTGGATTTCAACTAATCTTGATGGAACATGTTGACAACTTCTTTTTAGTGTTGTGTCAGAGGAAGTCACAACAATTGCAACTTTGACAAAATTTGCAGCCCTCCCCCCCATCTTAAACATTTTATTTGATTGTTGTCAGCCATGCAGTCGGGACAACTATTTGATGGTTGTACTTTCACTAACCAAATCCACAGTTTTGAGCTTAGTGACACTATGATGGATGATGTCACAAGACAAGTATGACTTCTTCCCTGCACAATTGTCCACACCAGATGGAATACAATGACATCTCTTCGTGAAGTTCAGTAATTGTTTTGGCAATGGCCACATACAGTATTTGGTCATTCGTCACGGTGGATTAAAGATCTGTCAAATATGTTTCTCATATTAAAAGCATGCAGACAAACATTTCGAAATGTAAATATAAAAGAAAACAATTGGGCTTAAACAATAAATCAGTTCTAAGAGCCTGGGTGATGTCTAAAGTGTTGTAACCCATAGGGGACAATCAGCTTTCCGTTAAATTACAGCAATGAAAAGCAAACCTTGTTTGCTGGAAATGTATTATCAAATAGCCCACAGATATTGTAAAACCAGTAAGTTAACTATTTGAGCCTAAGGATCCTTCTTGTTCACGGTGCAGTTAAGGAATGCATTTTGGTTTCTTGCTGTATCTTAGAAACCTCTATTTTTTCTTTAATTATATTTTTAATAATAATAATACTCCTTTTTAACATTACTTTTATATGAAACTTGACAACACATGGTATTAAAACAAAATATAGAACACATTTAACTAAAGAAACCAACTGTTATGTTTGTTTTCTGAACACCTTAGTGTTCACACTGTTAACTGATAAGCAATGCCAAAGTCATGTGCACCTTTTGGGAATGAAAAGATCCCATACCCCATCCCATATAACATTTATTCACTAAGTATTGGAGAAACATACTTTTTTATGTCAATTAATATATGTTATAATTAGCTGCATGTGCACAATAGCGGCTAAACATTCATACTGTGGATTGTGCACCACAGGGCAGACTAGGATTTGTATAAGCTCTTGGCTAAGAGTCCCGCGCAGTATTTTGGTATTATATTTTACGACCTCTAATATTAAATATGTGGATTGTTCACCTAGAGTCTAATAAAGAGAAAAGAGAAACTATACATTAGTGTTTTTAAGTGTTTTTGCATTATGTAAAACCTGACATATAGAAATTGCTCCCTTTTGCATTTTTAAAACATTAACAAACACAGTTAAAGCATCCCATGTTCATCTCTGTCACTATTAAAAGAGATGTCATCTTGATAAAAGTAAGTATTTGAGTTTTAATGTTGAGCTTTTTTTCTTTTCTAACTCTTTTATCTTTATGCAGGAATGATTTAAAGAGGATTAAGAGACAAAGCAAATGACTAATGCAATTGTTATATAATAAATGACAACCAATTCTTTTTAATGAACACGTGCCTGGTTCGAAAGAGTTAACTTGTGCGAAATTAGTTACCAGAGCATAACAACAGTGTATGCTTTAAGCTAGCACTTTTTTATACTTTGTATTATTTTACTATCACTGTAAGCTCTTTGGTCCTGGGAGCACAGTTCTATCGTTTCACTTTTTTTGTGTGTTATAGATCATGGATAGGCATTTATTATACAGAGCTGCAGAAGATGCTGGTGCTAGACAGAGTAAGTAATCTCTACAGCTTATGATTTATCTTCATTTAAGAAACAAGTAAGCTCCCAATGCAATAAACTCTAAAAGGAACATCATATATTTTCACCCCAAAAAGGAATGCACAATATATTTTTGTATTGCTGACTTTGCTGAATGTAGTAGCTTTTCTCTGACTTGTTGCCTCCTCTTCTGCCTTGATTTACAGCTGCCTACATCTGACTAGCTGTGACTCAAGTCATCTGAATGTTTCAGGCTACATGTTTACTTTTATTGTTATTGCTGACTTTTTAAATATTTTCTGATTTTCAGCAAGAAAAAAAGTCACCAGCTTGACAACTTTTTCTTTGTCAATAAGCACAAATGAAACAAGAAAAAGAAATCGGACAAAAAAAGACAAACTTGTGCTATGAACATAAAATCGATGATCATTTTGTGTGTATATATATATATATATATATATATATACACACACACACACACACACACACACACACACACACACACACACACACAATATACACACTCTCACTCATGCATTAGCAGTAGAATCATTTTTACTGCTGGTGAAATAGGTGACTTATATTCATTCACTTCAAATATCCAATCACATGCAGGGAATCTACAAGTACTCCACTTAATTGGGTGTTTCAACTCTAGTTTACTGAACCAGTATAAACTACTTCTTTAGTAATTCACCAAATAGTGCAGTACAGAAAGTTTGTAAAAAAAAAAGAAAATATATATAAAAACAATAGACTGATAAAAACGTGTTACATAAATGTTAGACAAGGTTGTGTTTCTGCTTTATGGTGTACAATTCAGACTGGTGTGTTCTGTAGAGGTGGGGTAGACGTCATTTTTTATTTATACAAGTTTAATACAAATGAAAACATACTTATTTTGCCTGTTCATGCCTTACGCCATGACTGTGCCAGAAATGGCCATCTGAATCAGCTATGTTCAGAATGTAGCATGAATATTTTAATGTCTGGACTTAAGGAATTTGCTAAGCCCTGAAGGGTCAACCTTATTGTCTCGCTTTTATCTTGCCCCCAGATCAGTGGGTTCAATATACAAATTGCAGTGTATCAGTTTAACTCCTTTACAGCATGTCTTGAATACCTTATTACAAGTCACACGTTGTTGAAGAATGTCAGTAGATCAGCTTTAAAACAAACAGCTGCCTTACCAAATCTCTACACCACATCATTGTTACAGCCAAAATATACTTGCAAAGCCTTCACACCACACAATATCTCCCTGGCCACATTTCTGTGATCTCAGCACAGTTATTTGTTAGAGTGGATGATAGAAAGCAGCATCCAACTCTCTGTAGTAATTGTACTCGGTGTATGACTTCTGTGAAAATCAAACAATGTGCTAATTTCTAAAACTACAAAGACTCGCTTGTCAATGTGCTGGATTGCGGAGTATAAGAGATTGATTGCAGGTACAGCATTTAAACTGTGGCGAATCGAAGGAGAAAGTTTATTCAGGGAAACTGGAAAAAAAAAGACTGTAATCTTTTAAATCTAATCCCCTCAAGGTATTTTTAAAAAAAACAACTAAAGAGAAGGAATCTCTTTTTCTTGCCTGCCTTTTAACTGTTTAAATACATTGAGTAAATGACAGCTGCAGAGAGGCAATAGACAGATTACTTACCACCAGGAAGAGTCCACTCTTGGGGTCAGAATAAGCAGAATGAGAAGATATGCAATATACATCCTATAGTTTGTTTGGACATTGTCTGATGAAGCCACAGTCCTATGACAATGCTTTAATCTGGAATTTGAGGAAGATTTCGTGTGACTCCTAAGGTGTTCTCCAGATTCAGTTAAACACAGCATAGTTACTATGTCTTCCCAAATTGCTTTGCAGAAAGGAGTCCAGGACACCTAGTAATCCAGAGTATTATGCAGGTAAGTGCTTTACTCCATGAAGTTATCTCAAAAAGTTTTTTTTCAGCAGCTTTCTGAAAACAAAAACCATATAAATGTATCCAAATATCTGTATTCCTTTACATATTTTTCCTTAAAAAAATTCCCTTAACTTTCCTTTCCTAACTACAGCAAATACATATGCATGAAAGAAATGCAATATTTCTTCAGGTAGGTAAGGGAAATGGCACTGCAAAGACAGTCCAAATGTAGCTGTCGAAAATCAATGCAAAGCTTTCTAAATGATGCAGAGTGAAGACAACTTAGCTGGTGTTTGTCTCTGAAGATATAGAAGGGAAGCCCAGAGGTTCAGGAGGATGATGCTGATGAAATCTGCCTTGTAGAGTTTGTGATGAAGAGGAGAGGAAAGGATGATCTGAGTTGCTTCTCTGAGTCTGTCTCTGTGTCTTCTGGACAGGGTAAAGTTTGAGGAATTCCTGGATTCACTTGAGAGGTAGCAGATCCCAGCCTTTTCTGAAACTCCCCCTGAAAAAGTGCCTCTGCAATGGGTGAAGATAGGCTGAGCTACCTTTGCAAAGGGTTGCAGCAGCATACTACCACCTGCTGCTGTGATACAGACACACAGATAGTAGAGGAAGACACATGCATTCAGTTAGAGTCAGTGCTCAGATTGGAAGCTGCCATTGTCTACATGGTCTTAGTGCCTTCAGATTTTGAGTGAGAACATTTCTAAAAGAAAAAAAAATTATTCCCTTTACTAACAGTAAGAAAGCTGCTAAAACTGACCTGAGAAACCAAAACTTTTATATGTTCAGGCTTTTTCCATCAGACAACTTGTGTGCCTTAATATCTTGTAAATACGGTTATCTTTAGTAGTAATTAAAATGATAAGTAACTGCATGCTAACAGGGACAAACTGATATGTGATACAAATCAACACAAAAGAAAAGGTGACATTAAAGACGAACTGCAGGATTTCTTCAAATTAACTGTCGCAGTGGGGCTACCCCTGTGCTGCAAGTGTTAGGTGCTCGTTTTGGTCTGGGGACAAAAATAAAGAAGAAATAGTCGGTCCCACCCGGCTGCTAGACCTTTCCCTTCAGCCTCCTCTCCCCTGGGCTCCAGCGGTCCAAGGACCCGTGTTGTCATCATATCTAATGCAGGTCCATTAGATGTGAGGATGCAGAAGGACAAGCCACAGTCAGAGCAGAGGGGGAAAGAGGTGAGCGGTCACTGCTGCATGACTGAGGATCAGGTGAGTTTATCTTCTTTACTTGCCCACTAGACCAAAACAAGCACCTAACCCTTACAGTGCGAAAGTAGCACCAGTGCAAGGGTTAAATTGAAGAAAAAAAACCTGGAGTTTTTTTTAACGGTCTGGCTTCTAAACTGTGCATGATCTGTTTGACACATCATCAATGTGTCAACGAGCCCTGTTATGTAAGGCGAACATGAAAATTTGTTCTTATAAAGATGGAAGAGGGACAACCCAGCATTGGTATATCTCAGGGGTAAACAGTGATCAGCTGAGAAATATCCACCCAGCTGTTCAGGTCTCCGCCGGAGATGGCTCAGTAATGGGGTGTTACAGTACACATGTACTCGATGTACAAATGTTCTTCGATCCAACCACAGACTGGGCCAACCAGATTGGGCTAACATTCTCTAATGTCTGCACAAACCTTAATCGTTTTTTTAAATTCAAAAACAGCTTCTAGAGCTTAAAAAATACCAGCTCTAAAGGAAAGGGTTCATTCCCCCAAAACAGTTTTTGAACTTTTTGGTAGGTGAGGAACAGTTAAAACAACATATGCTTTTATATCTCTTGCAGTTGTGATATCTCTGTTCTTGTGGTCCCCGGTCTACAGACCTGTATCAGCTGGAGTCCACTTTCTCTGCTGGATTTTTAGTTTATTTTATATTACAGAGAATGCAACACAGAAACGGTAATGTTCCAAGATGTGACGGACCTCCCAAAACTTTAAAGGAGAACTATGAGGTGAGTGAAAATCACTCATCCTCATAGTTCAAGCCGACGTGTGACAATGAAACTGTCACACGTCGCCTCAATAGATCGGGAAGTGAGCGAACACATACCATCGCTCGCTCACTAATTGATCATTTGCCTGCAGAGAGACGTGACTGTCACTCAGGGCTCCCTGCAGGGATTCTTCCCTCCCCTCCCTGCTCTGATCCTCCAGCGCTGACTGGCAGAATGGACGGGGGAGGGGGCGGGTACAGCTGGCTCTGCTTCTAGATAGGCAGAGCCAGCTGTCACTCACGCAGCTGGGTGGATCTCGATAGTAATGTCGGGATCCGTCACGGCTGCGGCGGTCTCAGTATACTGTCAGCTGTAGCTTGCGATATACTGAGCTTTGGGTCACAGGAGGAGGTTAGTATATGTCCTCCCGTGACCTTTAAGAGAACTATGGGCAAAAACACTTACCCCATACTTCTCCTTTAAAGTGAGTTGGAATAGAACCAGAAACTATGTCAGGAGCATCTGCTGCTAAGTTTCCCATAAGATACGAGAAACTTGTAGGTAAGATACAAGACTCCACCTACAACTGAACTATCACTTTTGAATAGACTGATCCTTTTGTTTCGAATTCAAACTTCAAAATGAATTTGTTCAGTCATAACACTGTTTTTTTATTTTTATGGCACTGCGGCTCATTTATACTAAAGAGTGAAAGATGCTGATTAGTTAGTATAGAAAATGACTCCATTATCTGTGCTGATAACAATGAAACATTCCGGTTGATTTGCTAAAGTTCTTGAAGTTGTTCACTTAGCAAAGTGAATGTAATGCCCCATTTACACGTGCATGTCAGCATGCACCGTGTTTATTCACAATTTGCCGCGTTTGCTGCACATGAGCCCATTCATTCCTACGTGCGACAAACACTGCAAATAAGCTTATGCAGCAGTTTGAGCTGCCAGCCTCACGCGTTTTTGACCATGCATTTTTGCACGTTTGTTGCACGTGGGCAAAGACGAGTGTTTTGTCCGCTGTGTTTGGGGTGCCATTCACAAGTAATGGCACTGTAAGCGAAGCTTACAGTTCACAAAGAACAAAGGGCGTAATTTCCGTGCCTGATGAAGGGGACCCTGCGTGGCCCCGGAAGCGTTAGATCTGGTGGCATGATTTTCCAATAAGTGAACACTTTGGACTTCAATCCTATTGGTGTGCTGGTGACATCCATTCATTTTTGTATTGCTTGGCGGCTCCATCCGTGGTCACTGCGAGCACCCCCCTTCTTTAATTCGGGGCCTCCCGGTAAGGAGTGCAACAAGGTATTTCTATGTCTGTTTCTGTTCACAAAGAAATCTCACTTCTCCAATTCTCCAGATGTATCCCCATCACAGAGATCCCACAGGTGCAGGCAGAACAAATGTGTGTTCACCTTTAATCAGTTTCGCTCAAAAAACAGCTGCACACCCCGGATCTTCAGATAATAAATCCAATATTTATTGGAATCCAAAAGTGCATACCGCAGACATGCTCCCCAATACAGCAAGAGTCATCTTATGCCGCATTTCACCATTTAGGCTTAGTGATGGAGACCTCTATGACTAAGTCTAATTGGTAAAGTGCGTAAGGGGACTCTTGTTGTATTAGGGAGCATGTCTGTGGTATGCACTTTTGGATTACAAATAAATATTCAATTTATTATCTTAAGATCTGGTGGTGTAAGGCTATCTTTTGAGTGGCACTGTAAGCATGTCACATATTTTTACCACATTGTGTGATGGCTCACCAATGCAGTGGCGTCACAAGGGGGGTGCGGCCCGCACCCGGGTGACACCATTGGATGGGTGACACCAATATGACTGACAGTCATTTTGGTGTCTCCCCCCTCTGAAAAGTCGGGCACTTGGTCAAGGACCGAGAGCCCGACAGTTGCTGGAGAGAGGAGGGGACCCGGCGGCATACCTTATCAGGTAACAGTGGTACCACGCGTGGGTGTCACCCGGTACCCGCACTGGGCGTCACCCCGCCTTGGGACGCCTCTGCACCAATGCACACGCTTTGGTGCGCTTTCACACGCACAGCAAGTGTGAACAGGAACTTAGTGAATAAAATGAAACTGTGTTCACTTTGAACATTCAATCACGTGTGAGGGAAGTGAAGAAAGAACAGGATTAACACAGGATTTAAATTAGCTTCATCTTATTTACTGACATTGACTCGGAAAAATGAACTCACCTTGCTGAGTGAACAGTCTCTTTACCTTTAGTAAATCAACCCTATGTCATAAAAATAGGGAACAAGCCAATCCAAAGCTGCTTAAAGCAACTGCTCCTTCAGATTCCAGTTGTCATTCTTACAGTTCAGTTTACAATACAACAGCGAACACTTAATTGGTTGCTATTGCCAACAGCCGGTTAATTTAGAACCATCATCACATTATAGTAACTCTCACCGCTTTCAGAGATGGTGCTAGATAAAACAGCTTGATATGTGTTATTATTGCTGCTCTGCACAGTATTTTGTTTATTATCATCAAACATATGTGTTCACTTGCTTTGGAAGAGTGCTCTTTTTCTTTTCAAACAGATTTGTACTTTTTACAAAATAAACGTTACTGTGGTTTTACTGGAAGTAATTTATAAACTTCTATTTGGTTTGTAAATTGCTGTTAATACTGGCCGATAGTGAGATGCATTGGCTTTCTGGGGTTCTTATAAGGAAAAAGTCTTCAGCACACACATCTCGTATATGTTACATTTTGGAAGGGAAAATATTAATTTACGTTAGGATACTAAAAATAATATTATATTTATGGTTTTGTTATTTTTCTTTTCCTGTAAAGAAAAAACAAAGCAAGCAATGCATATGCAACAAATATTATTGCAATCATTTCCTTCTCTCTCTCATGCTGCAAAACCTGTACACTGTTTGAGAAGTAGCTGGAGTGGGAGCCCCTCATTGATTTAGGGGTCTATTCACGCAGCTGCC